TATTAAATACAGTTAGGTAACTAGTAATACAGTTTTGGTATCACTGAAAATACAAGTTATGACGCCGATGATATAAAATTAATTAACAAAAAATTATTATAGGTGTATGATATAAAAAATTCTTTAAACATACATAACCAAACATAGCTCTTTTTAGGGTTCCGTATTTTATGCAGAACAAGGCAGGTATTTGACGCAATTGCACCTAATGGTTAGTGATATGCAGTCTAAGATGGTAACATTGTAAGCGTAGGCCCCACCGATTTTTTATCGGCCGATATTTTAGTCGGGCAGTTAATCAGTATGGGCCATTGGGCATGTATGGAAGAGCGCACATTACACCGTTTGATTCTTCATACAAATTAGAATTGGGCCCAACTTTCGGCCGACGAAAAATCGGTGGTCTGCGCCTAGGCTAAGTGTGCGTGTGCGTATTCATTCTCGCCTTGTGTTAGCATTAAATGTGATATAATTATTCTGTAAATCTTATTTGCTTTGTAAATCGCATGTTCGAGCGGGCAACCCCAAAATTAGTGGGAAAAGTAAATACGTGGATGGCAACACTGACGCTCGAGCATACGATGGCGGATTACGTTTTGATGCGATTGTAAAATGTGATTATTCGAAATAAGAATATTGAGTTCAAATNATGCGGCTTAAGACTAAATGTTCTGAGGGAACTTTCGCGGCTCGCAGGCCAGCGGGATGTTTAGTCTACAAATGATTCTGTTAACTCTTCAAAACAATTCCTAGAATATAGGTTGCTGATCATGCAGCATTGAAGAGTTGGCAGATGTAACTACGTTGTTCAGTGTTGTCAGTTCAAAAACTATGAAAATGGACTTAGTGATTTCTAGAATTGGACCATCCAACTTTGCTCCTATCTATCACCTTTTCAGAGTCTTCGGAAGAAATCAAACCAACGTCTCGCAATACTGCACTTGCAACTGCTGCCGCTGATCGATCGGAAATGTTATAACGATCGCAAATTTCAGCTAAATTAGAAAGCGTCAGTGTGTTCCTTCTGTTCGGCATCACCTGAGTGCCAGAGGTACTTGGTTGGGATTCACCTAATGCACTAACGGATTTTACACTCAACCGAGTTTTTTCTTTTTTATTATATGAAGTCTTTTCTGAAACGGCGTCTTTGGTATATTCTACTGTGTTTTGTTTTCTAGACAATTTCTTTTCCAAACTTTTAGTCTCTTTCTGATCTAAATTTCCAATTGCCATTTTCCTACCACTTCTCTGATCTATTAAAAATTCTCTTTCTAATAATGTTACTTTTTTTTCTTTAGGACAATTACAAGTGCTAAAATCAATACATTTACAACAACAAATATCAAATAGTCCTTGCATGCATTCAATTTTCCATTGTTGTAGTTTTTCGTGAAAGTTGTCTGTTTGTTTTAATTTAGGAAAGCGAATGAAATATAAATATTTATTATAACAGCACTGTAACAATTGTTTTACACGTTGTACCTATTGTAACAACAGGCAAAGAAGCTTTTCTCCAAACTTCGATTAAATCAAGAATAGAATAGAATAAAAATAGAATAGAATATTATTTATTTGGCACAATACACAATAGGTACATGATATAGGCACAATACAAGATTAAAACATAGAAAAAAACAAAAAAGAAAAATAAAATAGATTTTAAGTGCCCTGTGCCAAAAAGGTCCCTGACTCAGCATTAGTCGTGACAAAGATGCCACGACACTGATTTTCAGCAAGGACCTTTGGGGCACTGGGGTCGCCGTAAAAATAAAAAAAAATAAATAAAAGAACAAAGAAACACAGATTATACCTAACATAAATACAAACAATAAAATCATAAAACAACAATATAGTAAAATCTAAGTCTATTGATTATATTTCAATTACACATGATGTAAAAATATTTTTCATTTAATGTACGCAATGTGTGAAACGGGATAGATTTAGTGCTGGGGTATTTCTCAGGTTTAAGAATTTATTTCTCAAAAGAAATTGTACATTTCACTTAAAATGAGAAACAAGGTATTTCAATTATTTATAAAATAAATGTAGGTAGATCTTAAACTAAGGGCGCACGGATTTAATTGTTCACCAAACACAAGACATTCGTCNTACCTGCATGCCAAATTTTAAGCGTCTAACTTACGCGGTTTAGATTTTTTCATACAAATGTTTTTTCCCGCTAACTCCCGTTCCCGTGACAATTTTGCAATATCCTGTTGTAACTAAGCTTTAAATTTACTAAGGTACCTGCATACCAAATTTCAAGCGTCTATCTTACGTGGCTTAGATTTTTTCATACAAATGTTTTTTCTCGCTAATTCCCGTTCCCGTAGGAATTTTGCAATATCCTGTTGTAACTAAGCTTTAAGTTTACTAAGGTACCTGCTTGCCAAATTTCAAGCGTCTAACTTAAGCGGTTTAGATTTTTCATACCAAAGGATTTTCCCGCTAATGCCCGTTCCCGTGGGAATTCCTAAGTATCCTATAACCTGCCCAGGAGTATGAAGAATAATTGTACCAAGTTTCGTCAAAATCCGTCGAGTAGTTTTTGTTTCTATAAGGAACATACAGACAGACAGACAGACAGACAGACAGACAGACAGACAGACAGACAAAAATTTTACTGATTGCATTTTTGGCATCAGTATCGATCACTAATCACCCCTTGATAGTTATTTTGAAAATATATTTCATGTACAGAATTGACCTCTCTACAGATTTATTATAAGTATAGATAGGTAGGTCTGGGATACGGACATTAATTTTGTATCTTTGTAAAGTTTTTCAGAGGAAGTATAATAGTCGTAATGGAAAAGAAGTTTAATTAGTTTGTTTTGCGTTGTTTGTAACTTTTTGAGGTTGGTTTTAGCAGCTGTGCCCCATATTTCAATGAGATAGTCGAGGTGAGGTTTGACCATGGAGTTGTAAATCAAATACCGAACCGGAAGAGGGAAACAATTTGCCACGCCATGCAGTGAACATATCAGAGCAGATAATTTTGATCGAACTTGGTTTATGTGAGGCTGCCATGTTAAGCGATTGTCAAGTATTAGTCCAAGGTACCTTTCTGAGTATATTCTGGTCAAGTGTTCGTCGTTAATGGTTAAAGCTGGGTGATTTTCGATTTCTTTGTTTTTGGCACTAAAAATTATATAATTTGTTTTAGATACATTGATCGTAAGTAAATTTGATTGCAACCAAGAATTGAGTGAGTCTAAGTCTTTTTGTGCCTCTTGAATAATTGGGTTTATTTTGGTGCCGAAGTAAAAAAGACTTGTGTCATCCGCGTATAGTGTAATGTCACCTTTCAGACCAATGTCATTGATGTTGTTTATGTATATTAAGAACAATAACGGCCCCAGGATGGATCCCTGAGGTACTCCGAATGTAATTGGCTGAGGTGTACTTTGAACGTCGTTGATCTTAACAATTTGGTGTCTGTTTGTTAAATAAGACCGAAAAATAGCCAGAGCACTTCCTCTGAGTCCGATTTTATATAGTTTTTGTAGGAGCAGGTCATGACTTATGGTGTCAAAAGCCTTTTTCAGGTCAATGAAAACGCCAAGAGCAATTCGCTTCTCGTCAATGTTTGTCCTTAATTTGGTTACAAGATCGATAGTAGCAGAAAGTGTATTAGATTTACTTCGAAAGCCGTACTGTTTATCGGAAATAAAACCAATTGAATTGAGATAGTCGTTTAGCCTGCTGTAAATAACTTTTTCATAAATTTTAGAGATGATTGGCAATACCGATATCGGGCGGTAGTTACTTGGGTCAGTTTTTTTACCAGATTTGAATATAGGGCTTACTTTTGCCAGTTTGAGTGAGTTGGGAAAGCAACCACTTTCAAGACACTTGTTAATACAAACAATCAAATTTCCAACAATTAATTTTTTAACGCATTTTATTGCCTTACAGCTAATCCCATCAAGACCAGTACTGGTGTTTGGATTAAGATTATCTATAATTTTCGCAATTTCATCCTCTGTAGCTGGTTCTAGATGAGATAAAACTGGGGTTGGCGAGTCGGTGTTTGGGCTGCATGGCCGGGAGTGGGGGTAGTTACTAGTATTTGTAGTTATATTTATATTTTGGATAATTTTATCAGCTAAAATGGCCCCGATGCTTGCAAAAAAGTTGTTGAAAGTTTTACAAATCTCAAAAGTGTCTGTTGTTGGCCCGTTACTTGTGTCTAATTTAGAAGGAGCTGAGCTTGATTTAACTTTGTTACTTGCTAGAGAGTTTATTAGTTTCCACATCTTTAAAGGTTTATCTTTACATTGTACGAAAGCTTTATAGTAATATGCTTTTTTTGCGTTTTGGATCCGTTTTGTAACTTCGTTTCGTTTCTTCAAAAAGTCGTCTTTTATCGCATCGTCATCTGGGTTTTCTTTGTTGTTACGCCATGCATGATTTCGTGAGTGTATGCTTTCAATAATATCCTTAGTAATCCAGTCAGATCTTATTGGATTTTGTATTTTTGTTTTAGTGATTTTGTTTTTCTGTATTGCGTCGGTGAGTATCTTTTGTAGGGATTCGTAATCGGAATTTGAGGCCTTCACAAGCGTGTCCTCGGTAGTTTTGTAAAATGCCTCATAATTTAAAGTTTGGTAGTTTATCTTGGTCCTAACTTGCGGTTTGTAATTTCCAATTTCCAAGTATATTTGTTTATGGTCGGACATTGCGGACTCAATGATAGTTAGGTGAAATTTATGGTTGGTTAAGTTAGTGGAGACATGGTCAAGGGTGGATTTCGTCCGTGGTGTTTCTCTTGTACAATATTTCGGATCAGTGTTGTTTAAAATGTAGATACCATTTTCACGCAGGGTTCTTTTATAAGTTTTGGCAACAACAACAAATTTTTATTCAGAACATTCACCTCTTTTCGTGTTTATGATACGAAAGATCCAAACAAATTGCAGACTGCAAATAAATACGCATACAGCAATGCATAAATGGAACTAAATTTTGAATAAAATACTTTTATGGCCCTCCCATTAAGTTTTTTGAATGTAAAATCCTTTTTATTTGTATGCATCAGCTTGAAAACTGCTTAATAATAATAATAAATGTTTTGTTTTTCAGTGTCGACAGGTCGCGCACTATGGACGTGTCGGTGGGAGTGCCGGTGCACCCCGCCAAGGAGAAGCCGCCAATCAACGTCGTCGGAGATGTAGGCGGGAGAATAGCCATTATGGTGGTATGTATTGATTTAGCTGATTTTTAATTAGTATTTTGAAGATATAGCAAACTCGCCTCTATTATTTCACCGATAAGATGTTATTTGACTTTAATTTCATGTAATTAAATCCTTATAAAATGCTAGCTGATCCAGCAAACGTTAAGACCTGTATGACAAATAGTTTACGTCCTATGCTCAGACTCATAGGTGTTTTGTTACAAAAACTGATAGCAGTGGCGGCGTAGCATAGGTGCTACTGACTGATAGGAGAATACATTTGATGTACAAAATATTTACGCAATCTAAACTTCTTCAGGATGACATGATAGACGACGTCCAATCGTTCGTCGCCGCCGCCGAAGTGCTGAAGGAGTGCGGCGCCTACAAGATATACGTGCTGGCGACCCACGGTCTGCTTTCATCCGATGCGCCTCGGCTCATCGAAGACTCGCCTATCGACGAAGTCGTCGTCACCAACACGGTGCCCCACGAGCTGCAGAAGATGCAGTGCAACAAGATCAAGACCATCGACATATCAGTCCTACTCAGCGAGGCCATCCGACGCATCCACAACAAAGAATCCATGTCATATCTCTTCAAAAACGTCACCCTCGAAGATTAATCCGGTTCAAGTATTTCTAAGTATTATTTTAAGTATTATATCCTTGTTAGTTTCTATAACCATAGCCATCATTACTTTTCCCATGGCATACGCCACTTGAGGCATATGGATTTCTAAGTAAGGATAGTTTTATGATTCCCTTATCGCATTATTCCTTGTTAGCTGATAATTTAATGTTTGTGTAATTAACAAGTGGTAGCGGTTATCCAGCAAGTATGCAGGTTGTTGTGAACAAATAAGTTGTATGGAAATTAACAATAATTATACTTTCAACTTGTGTATGTATGTGCTTTTAGTTGCCGATTAGTAATATGTGTACCTATATTATGGTGGTATGTTTACTTTAAACAGATTACGTAACAGTTCTAAGGATTCAATTAAGCATTTTTCAGATGATCCACCTGAAAGCATTTTAATTTACATCCATTTGTGAAACAGTGTTCAGTCATTAATCGACATTCTTTGTCACAGATTTTATCATTTAAAAAGCATGTTTTTTTAGTCCAAACTTAAGTATACAATCATTGTAAAGGCTAGGAGAGCAAAGCTCAAGAATAATTTGACCAATACTTTATTACGATTTTATAACAGAATTTCAGATCTGTGACGAAGATTGCACCAGTCATGTTATATTATGTGTACTGTTATGTACACAGTCATTTAAAACACCTTTGTACCTTTAAGGGTTATTGAATATTTGTTGTTTGTAAAGAGAATCTGTATTTTATTAATGTTTATTGATAAATTGTCCAAAGCTTTGTGAATAACGAATATGTGACTGTATATATCTTAAACTTGAATATTTACACAAAGTAACTGTATAGTGTATCAGTAGTCATAAAATGCTATTATAATAAATCGTTTTGTGGCATAATTTGTTTTTATTTTTTAATTATTCTCAATTTTTTTTGTGCCAAAGGGACTGAAAACATTTTTAATCTTAAAAATCTACGAAAGCCACACTTTTTACCGATCAGACGTTACTTAGGTCCAGAAGTTCCAGAACCCAGATGTAGATATAATTTTTGTGAGTATTCTAACAAGGAGTAAATGAAAAACAAATGTATAAAGTACACACTGCAACATGCACTGCACTGTACTGCATACTTAAGCCCAAAACGGGAGATTTTTTATGAAGAAAAATATCTCTGAAACATTAATAATTTTATTTATTATAGTATTTTTGTCTAGATGGTCATTCATCATTACCTACACATTGGTCTAAAAAAATAAAAAACACCAACCGAATTGAGAACCTCCTCTTTTTGTTGAAGTCGGTTAATTAATTTTGGCACGGTCTATATGGGATATGGGACACCCTGTAAATAATTTTCACAACAACCTAAGGTTAACCCTTAATCGAATTCAATTTTTAAGAGATAAATAATAATAATTCGTGGCTAGACGCAATGCGCGAGAGCCAAAGAAGAAAAAAAAAAGAGTGGTTACTGAAAATAAAAACAGATCGAGACTTTTAGGTTTTTGTTTGTGGTGTCTTTTAGGCATAAATCTAATTTCTTTGGCCCTAATTTCCTTGTTTTCCGTGGCATAAAATGGCATAGGAAATTATAAAAGACCATTTTTAATTCGGCGTAAAGTCAAATTTTGAGTATTTCTTTAATGGAATAAGTTTGAAATTTTCATTTTAAGAAATGGGTATCAGAATAGATATAGAACAACTTGTTTTTAACTCTTAACTCAATCTACTGTATTTATCTTCCTTAGTTGTGTAAAAAGGTCGTAATGATACAATATTCATTGGTATGTTTGCTTGCGAAGGTACACAAAAATGGGTCGAACAAAAAAAAAGCAAACCACAGAAGAAAACTATATATAACTTTGTTTCTAAAATGAATTATGACACCCCTTTTAGATTTATTAGCTTAGTTTTTGCTACTTAATGCAATGGGAAACTAAAAATAGTTAAAAACAAAAGAATATTTCGTACCAAGGAAATTAGGCAAAATTGACCATTTTTGGCGAAATACCCTTTTGCGGTGGGAAATAATGTCCCTTTATTCATAACGGAATACAAAGTTTCATTAAAGTGGGCAATTATTTTCCATTGTTCAGTAGGTAATTATTACAGTTGACATTATTATAGAAATTATGGCGGTTGCTATAATGTTAATGTAGCCTATTATATTTTGTATCACTACTGTTGCTCCAGGGTTGAGTTAAGTATTGGAGATGTCGAAATTTCGGGGTGGTCGAGTTGTTCTAGGGGTCGGGTTGTTGTAGAAGTCGAGTTGTCGTAGGGCTGAGTTGTCATGGACTCGAGTTGACTGGGTCTGGTTGTCGTAGGGGTTAAGTTATCATGGGGTTGAGTTGACTGGGTCAAGTTGTCCGGGTTGAGTTGTATCGGAGTCGAGTTAGTTGTCGTAGAACTGTTTGACAGTTTTTTATCCATCGGCAGCGTGGGGAAGCTACCATAATTACACATGTCACCTTTACAGCATGTTATATTCCTCTGGCCCGCAAAACGCTTCCTGCAAATGAGTTAAGTCAATGTGATTATCACCTTAAGGAGTTTTATGGGGTTCTAAACTGAAACTGACCCTCCAACTACCCTCAAGACTAAACTCACCTCGGGCCGAATGAATGACACGTGAACTCGTGTTCACTGGAGGTAGAGCAGCCACGTGACTGCTGTGAGACACCGTCTAATGTGAGCACCGTTGCCTTATAGCAGTACAGCCCATCGTCGCACACGCTCAGAGTGTCCGCAGCGCAGTCCACGGACTTACAATTGTGGCATTTGTATAGTGTTTCGGACCTGGAAAACGGATGGATTCTATTGCCTAAACTTAAAAAATCATTCAATGTCAATAATTTCAGCCTAAATACCGGCCTTTTGTGAAGCTGTGTGTATTGTGGATGGCGTCCACTGGACGCAGCGCTATGTGAATTCATACAAAGCAAACCAAAATCCAGCAGTACCGTCAGATGCGCAGGAAAATCTACCGCAGCACGCGGAAAGACAAAAGGCTGTGGGCTGACGGGGTTGCTGACAAGGCCCAACTCGCTGCTAACACTGGCAATCTGAGAGAGCTGTACAAAGCGACGAAAACCTTGGCAGGAAGTAGCAGACCAAAGAAGAAGCCTCTTAAGTCAAGTGATGGAGAGCTTATTGTGTCGTCTGAAGGGCAACTGCAGCGATGGCGTGAACACTTTCAGGAGGTCTTCCGCCCTACCTTGACTACAGCCACCACCACGCCTGAGCCTCCGCAGCACACCTCTACTCCACCTAGGCTGCTCGACATCAATGTGGAACCACCATCACACGACGAAGTGGCCAAAGCTATCCTATCCCTCAAGATTGGCAAGGCCCCAGGACTCGACCTTATCACCGCAGAAATGCTGAGAGTCGACGTAAACTCCGCCGCCGACGTTCTGACACCTCTCATCGAAAACATCTGGATGGAAGAGGAACTCCCAGACGACTGGAATAAGGGGCTTTTAATTACTGTGCCAAAGAAAGGGGATCTAAGCCAGTGTAGCAATTGGAGAGGTATCACTTTGCTCTCGATACCGTCAAAGGTTTTCTGCAAGATTATCTTGGATAGGTTATCGGGGGCCGTTGAACCTCTTTTGCGTAGGGAACAGGCTGGCTTCCGCCCGAACCGCTCGTGTACCGACCAGATCAATACTTTGCGTATCATTTTGGAGCAGGCATCAGAATGGCAAAGGGAAGTCTACCTAACCTTTGTAGACTTTGAAAAAGCCTTTGATACGCTGAAGTGGGCAAGTATATGGTCGCGACTCGCTGACATTGGTGTCCCGCCGAAAATCATCGACCTACTGAAGGCCATCTACAGGAAATATTCTTGTACGGTGACTCACGACGGCCTCATCTCCGAAGACATCGAGGTGCATGCGGGCGTCCGGCAAGGCTGCCTGCTTTCGCCCCTTCTCTTTCTGGTTGTCTTGGATGGAGTCATGAATCGCGCATATCAAGACCAACGGCGTGGAATAGAGTGGGGTATAATCGGAGTCTTAGAAGACTTAGATTATGCCGATGACCTCTGTTTGCTGAGCCACACGCATCACGATATGCAGTCCAAACTTGATGACCTACATCGAGAAGCGGGTATCACAGGGCTCAAAATTAACTGCCGGAAGACCCAAGAGATGCGATCTGGTGTGAGAAATTGCACGCCATTACGGATTGGTGCAGAGGATGTGGCACGAGTCCACAATTTCACCTACCTCGGGAGCGTCGTGTCAGAAACTGGAGGTACTGAAGAGGACATCACTTCGCGCATTGCCAAGGCCAGAGCTACCTTCGCACAACTTCGCCCCATATGGCAGTCACGGAAATTGACCCGAAGGGTCAAGATCAAAATATTCGGGTCCAACGTTAAATCCGTTCTGCTCTATGGGTGTGAAACGTGGAAGGTCACCAAGGTTATCTCGCACCAGCTGCAGGTCTTCATCAACCGCTGCCTTCGCCGAATTCTCGGCATATACTGGCCCGAGAAAATCTCCAACATCGAACTATTGGAACGCTGCCACGAAATTCCGATCGACCAGCAGATCAAGCGCCGCAAGTGGAACTGGATTGGCCACACTCTCCGAAGGGACCCCGATCACATCCCTAAGCAGGCTCTGGATTGGAATCCCCAAGGAAAACGCAAACGTGGTCGACCCAGGCAAACTTGGCGGCGCACTGTAGCGGACGAGGCGAAGAAGATCGGCAAAACCTGGAGCGAGATCAAGCGAGAAGCTCAAGACCGAACGAGATGGAGGACTATTGTGGACGCCCTCTGCCCCATCTAGGGGACATAGGACCATAAGTCAAGTAAGTCAAACCAAAATCCGGCATTGCAGTGCGTCCGGCATGGGCCAATCAATCACGAGTGCTTTTATGCTTATACACTGGATTATTTTACAAAGTTTTGGGTTATTTAGGCTCCTAAAATAGAAAATACCTACTACAGACAGTTATATTTGTTCTGAATAATAATGTTCTGCTACCTCAGAAATGACCACAATTTGGGTGTGTTGTTGCGATGGACCACCACGTTATCAAATATTTTCTGTTCATTAAGACGATTGTCTGTAGACTGGGTGGTGCTGAGTGTCGTATCATCTACATTCAGCACATCCACACCATGGATACCTGAGGGAGGAGATAGGTAGGTATTACTTATTTTTTTAGTTTAACGTTAACCACTTGTACAATATTTTTATAAGAAAATTCGCTTCATTTAATGTTATGTAGCCCATTAAACTGTGCTTTAATTGTCCATAAGTCAGCCAGCACGCAGTGTTTAATTACCTATATTGCCATGTTTTGCTAACTGCTGTAAGAATGTAGGCCTATTCTGTAGTAGGTACTGTAAATATACGCGGACCAAATTACTTACCTCTACAAATATTTATAAATAAATAAAATGAGTATAAATATCCCAATACAATGCAAGCCATTATTTTGAAATTAGATCACTGGAAAAAACTACTCATAAACTTAATTGTGTTGTTCAACACGATATTAACTGTATTATTTTTGAACTAGGTACCGTACTACTCACAGATATGTGTGTGGTACTACTAATTTCATAATAATAAGAGATAACACTATCAACAATGGTCTTGTTGGCCTTGATATTCAAATTATTTTGTGTTTTATAATATGTGTAGGTAGGCGTTTCCGTTTTTATTTCTTTGACTTGTAATCCACTAGCCTTTTCCCATACAAATTGTTGCAAGATACGAGCTTTTTCTGTGCCTATTCCTTGTACTCATGCATGACTCTGAAATATTAGCTATTTACCTACTTTACTTCAAATATATTTTGATTGGAAGACCCCCGAATTAATTAAAGACGCCAAGTACATTATTTCGATTAATTAACTTAAAAAAACATTTAGAATTAATTGAATTAAATTCAAATTGCGAAAATCTTAGAATTAGAACAAACATATTAGGGGTTAAATCGATAGGTGAGAACTTGAGAGCCTCGCTCGGCTTGATATCGGAAACAACCTGTATAATCTTGACACTCCGATTTTTTTGACTGACGACTGCTCTGTGAATTTGACAAGGTATGTCATAATCAGCTGTGGTTTCCCCAAAATCCAAATGAGCTGAGGTTGAGTCCAAAAATCTAAAATAACATTGAATTATGTAATTTGGTTTATGTCGCATAATAACATAGCTTTCGGCTGTAATTTTTGCGATTCCAGTTTGTAGTGTTCATTTAGATATTATATAAAAAAAAAATAGTTTATAGGTTATAAAAGTTATCATCAAAATGAAAATACTCCAAAACATACTATCTGCTTCTAAATGTTCTTGGATGTGGTCATGTAAACGATTTCATAGTAGTAAAAATGTTTTGAAATTGAGTGAGCGTGGCATGTACCAAGACATGTTTCCTAACAATGCTGCGTAAGTTTGTTTATAAAAAGTTTTATGAACTTTAATTTTACCCCTGGTCATGCTTCATTTACAAACATCAAAAAAATATTAACTTTTCAGAAATGAGATAATCGATCTAGTATGTAAATCCCCACAATGTGTCTACGCTGGTTTTGACCCAACAGCAAACAGTCTGCATGTTGGTAACCTGCTTGTGATAATAAACCTTTTGCACTGGCAACGTGGGGGTCACAATGTTATTGCACTGGTGAGTAAATATTCATAAAGTACCATGTAAAAAAATACCAACAGCCAGTCAACCTAAATTAATTGCATACCTGATTTCAGTTGGGCGGTGCAACTGGACACATAGGTGACCCCAGTGGGAAAACTTCAGACAGAGTTGCATTGCAAAGTGAAACCATTCAACAGAATATTATTGGAATCAAGAAAAACCTTGAAACAGTATTTGAGAACCACCAAAAATATATTTGGTCAAAAGAAGAATCAAAACTTCAACCAATTAGGTAACAGAATGTAAACCATAATGGAAGTTCCATTTGTAAGATTCCAGTCTCATCCATACAGCATTTTTTATAATTATTTTCAGTTATTTTTATTATTAAAATATATTTTTTCTGCTCCTACCAGGATAGTCAACAATGAAAGTTGGTACAGAAACATAGATTCAATACAGTTTGTAAGCGAAATTGGCCGCAACTTCAGAATGGGGACCATGCTGCTAAAACATAGTGTTCAAACTCGAATAAACTCTGAAGTTGGTATGAGCTTCACCGAGTTTGCTTATCAGGTCTTCCAATCTTATGACTGGTTGCATTTATTAAAGGAATACGATTGTAGATTTCAGGTAAGTGTTCTTATTCATTTATGAACTACATAGTAAATTTCTATTAGAGTTGTAGAGACTAAAAAAATATTTTTGTACAGATTGGTGGAAGTGACCAGATGGGAAATATTAGTGCAGGTCATGAGTTAATCAGTAGAACAGCCAAACAGGATGTTTATGGTAAGTCTGACTCTGAAAACTTTTAGATATCAAAGATATTTAATAGTTTCATATTTCTGTTTGAGCCAAGGAAGTTCTGATTTGATTTTCTTTTGCAGGTCTAACACTACCACTTGTGACCACCGAAGAAGGCGACAAATTTGGAAAATCTGCTGGCAATGCTATTTGGTTGGATGCACAAAAGACTAGCCCATTCGGCTTATACCAGTTTTTCATCAGAACCAAAGATTCAGAAGTGGAAAAACTATTGAAACTGTTCTCATTTTATAGTTTAGGAGAAATTAAGGATATCATGTTCAAACATCAACAACACCCAGAGCAAAGATATCCTCAGACATGTTTAGCTGACCAGTTGACCACTTTGGTCCATGGAAGTAAGGATTAGCAAATACTCGAAATTAATTGCGTCATTGTGCCCATAATAGGTGCTTACATAATAATGTTTATTTTCAGAGGAAGGTTTAGAGCAAGCATTACGAGCGACAGACGCGATATACAGTAAGGATGTGAAATCACTAGTAGCATTGAGTTCAACTGAATTGGAACAAGTGTTTAGTGGAGCTCCTATTGTTACCCTTCTGTTATCGCCAGGAATTACTGTACTGGAACTGGGAATGAAGGCCAATTGCTTCCCTACAGAAAGTAAGAATAAGTTATATTCTGTAATGCTATAAATAAATGATTACATAAGGTCAATCAGGCATACTCTGCCAGTTAACCTTTGGATTAAGTATTGTTTTTCTAATATCTTGTGTATTAAATAATACATTTTAGAATATCTGTTTGTTTCAGGTGATGCCATTAGAATAATTGAAGCAGGTGGTTTTTACATAAATCACCAGAGAATAAAGAAAATAGAGGAAGTTATAACACAATCTGCTCACATTCTACCCAATTTAACATCTTTACTTAGAGTTGGAAAACGAAATTATTATATTGTTAAGTGGCAGACATAAATGTTTTAAAAACTATTTCTTGTTTTAATAGCATTGAATGGGCACTAGTTTCCCTGATCCTAGCGGATACAAAGAAAACACGCAAAATTGTGGGTATAGTTGTTATTAATTACAACAGAAGCTTGTATACTTGCAGTATAATAATAATAAAATGCATATCACATAAAACATCATAAATACTACATAACATACTTAAGCCTAAAATAATTATGTTCACTGAAACAGCGTGTGATACTACTGCTGTCGAGTCATAAATATAAAAATATGGCTATCGTCATACAACATGTTACGTTTGTGCGCCCGGGCGCGGCCGAGGCGAGGCGTACGATCATATTCCTCTAATATCACAAGAATAATTGCAACATTTATTTTATATGTATATTGTACAACTTCTCCTTACGAAGCGCTACATAATAATAAAATGCAATAAAGCTAAATCGACAGTACTGATACCGATATGTCTTTTTAGAATTCAGTTGAAGGAACGATCATTCTTTAAAATAGTAAACGTTTAGCAATAGCGATATCTTTTCGTTCGGTAAACAAACTTATCACAAAGTGTTAATATGTAACATTAGCTTTACAAAAATAAAATCAATTACAAATCATACCGTGCCATGCAAACGTAAATGCTCGAGTTCACTAGTTTAGGGCCGCGCGTGAACAGTCAGCCGAGCGAGGTGTCTATCGTAAATACATATAAGTGTCAGTCTCTTTCTCAATACTGCGCCGGGCCGCGGCAGGCGCGGGCGGCCGGGCCGATCGCGGCAAACGGTCACGTGTTCGGAACGGCTCGCAACTCCGACACCGTTAATAACAGTCGAAACTTCGTTTCGAAGGTTCACTCATCGACGGTGGGTAGCTGCGATGCGTCGGCACTGTGACGATTGCCTCTCTTTCTCGACGGGCGACACTGTATCGGGCGTCTGTGATGCTTGTCAGTTCGGGGTTGTGACTTGCGCTATGCGGGCTCGGCTAGAGCGGGCGCGCTATAGGTCGGTGCTCTCGCTCTGCGGCGCGGCCACGGGCGGCGGCGGCGCCGGCACCAGCGGGCGCGGCGGCCGCGTCGTCTGCGGCCGCGGCGACGTCGGAGTCTCTGTGATGCTACAACCAAAATAATACTGTGAATGATAGGTTCAGGAAAATACCGATGGCATATATAGTTCCAAAATACTTAACTGTCCTATGCATGACATTGACAGTGGGGCGCCACCGTCAATACCGGATCGCTAGTTCCGATTTTTGCCATGTTGGAAACCATATAGTTGAACGATGGTAGCGCCCCCCTGTCATTGAGTTTGGTGGGACAGTTCAGCGTGGGTCATCTTTTCAAATTCAAAATGCTCTAATGAGGGTTTTCGCGATTGAAAAATCCGCCAGATGGCAATACGTAGACGCGAGGTCCAAATGCTGCGTGATTGGTGGATTTTGACATATCTGTCAATGTCATGTCAAAAATAACCAATCATGCAGCATTTGGACCTCGCGTCTACGTATTGCCATCTGGCGGATTTTTCAATCGCGAAAACCCTCATTCAATGTTCCTGAGACAATGAAAACGCTAAGGACTTCTAACTCAGTTTCGCAGTAGTCCCTGCACTATACTCTAGTGATGTCTACATCAGATCTTTTTCGTTTACATGAACATGCGTTGCCATTTGCCAAGCATATCTAAAGCGAGGTTTAAACTAGCAATAAAACTTGCAGAAGTTGACTTCCGCAAGCTGTCACCACTATGTAAATCTTTGGCTTTAAAGTTGGCTTGCGTCGTTGTGCGACGGGCGGTCGCAGTCAGTGTACGCGCGAGTGATAAGGATGGGTAGCTTGGGGTCTTTGGACGAAATTCTACGTGCTCGGCGACCGGACTTTAGTAAACCTTAGTGGTAAGAATAATTAATAAGGCAGTGGTAAAAATAACAATTATTTGCTACCCTCACGAAAGAATATCGCCAATAGTGTCTCGCTCACCTGCCCTCAGACTGCGACAGCTGCCTGGTGGTGCCGAGCGCTTTAGGCGGGTCGAGGTCCGCGTCGGCGCCGCCCGAGCTATGCGTGCGTTGCACTGTCGCGCGAGACGCTTCCTCTGCTGTCACCTCCGTCGCCGCCGCTGGCGTACCTTCGGGGTTGGCGCCCACCTGACAATGATAATGGTTGGTTGGTTAGTGTTATCGCAGTTAGAAAACTCATTACAGTAGAACACTGAAAAAAGAAGTTCATTTTCTAATTGGAAAGAATATGGACACATGAATATTTGTATGTAATTTTTAATACTTAATGTTAGTGGAAAAAAATAAATACTTAATACTGTTTTTAAAATAATGATGTAAAATACGCTATGGGGTGGCTAAGACCTAAAGAAAGGAATAACTAATCATTAAATTAATAAGTTATCCAAAACATATTTCCGCTTCGCTTCGCCTTAGCCTAGGCGCAGACCACTGGGGTGCAATGGTGAGGGACCTCCACGTGGTGCACCCCGGGCAACGTCCGTGTGATCTCTTCACGCGGGCGGCTGACTTCTCACCTGCGCGGCAGGTTGCGTCAATTCGGCGGGCCTGTCGGGCGACCCGTAACCCACAACGGAGTGGGCCGGGGGCCGTCGGGACATCTGTCCGGGCCGCGATGCTGGGAACATCTTAAAAATCCCCCTAATCCCAAGGTTCGGCGGGGGCCGATGGGATGAATACCTAGAGGGACTCTAGGTGCTACCCCGTCGTGGAGAGAGGGTGGGGCAGCTGCGCCCGAAAGCAGTTATTATGACATGAGCACGATGGAAAATAAACTACCCCAGGGAGGTACCGGCAATGCCGGAGAATCCTCTGCCGCCACGGCGGTCACGGCCCACGTATCTGGGGGGGCCGCGCAGTGCCTTGTGTCTTCACCGGCGACTAAGCCGAAGCAATGTACAGCCGTACGAACTGATTTTGACAGCCGGCTGCGAAACATGTTCGCAGCTAAGACCGTAAAGGACACAGTCACCAAAAAGGCGGTCGAGACAGCCGCGGGACCTATCCGCGGTGCGACTCCCGCTCCAGTAGGTGACTCCCAAACTGAGACTCACTCGGATGTGACATCGGCAAAGGTAATGGTCGAGACTGCCTCGGTACTATCCGGGGATCTGACTCCCATTACCCGCAGTCGCTCCCGGACCAACGTATCCAAGGGAAGAGTTAGCGAAAGACCTGCCTCTGCCACCAAACGGCGGCTTGAGGAAGCAGAAGAGTCCCCTTACTATACAGATGAGACCGACCACGAAGGCAAGGTCGATCGCTTCATTGAGCGCTGCTTGGAAGCTGACACGGACGACTCCTGTATGTCGACCGAGTCAGCGTCATCTAGGCCACAAAGCCGCACATCATCACGCGGCAGCAAGAAGCCCCGCGGCCGCGGTAGACCCTCAACCGTGGGGGACTACATTGGCTTGAAACAAAAGTGGGCTGAAGAGAAACTGCTCGCCAAGGAGCAATACGAGGAGGTAGAGGAGATGGCCGTAAGGCTAACAAACAAGATGAAGGGAAGGCGACTCCGTGCAGAACACAACTCGCAGGCACTGACCACAGAGGAGTTGGTGCAGACTATCCGTACCAGCACCGAAGCAGTGTTTAAGTGCGCGGGTAAGTGCGGGAATATAAAAGGGACCATACAGGGCACCTTCAAAGAGGCCGCCCTTACTATTGACGCAGCCGTCGCGGCAATAGCAGCCAGAACTCCTGAGGAGGAGATTAGTCGACTTAATGCCGCCAACAACCTCCTCAAGAAAGAAGTGAGGTAGAGGAGATGGCCGTAAGGCTAACAAACAAGATGAAGGGAAGGCGACTCCGTGCAGAACACAACTCGCAGGCACTGACCACAGAGGAGTTGGTGCAGACTATCCGTACCAGCACCGAAGCAGTGTTTAAGTGCGCGGGTAAGTGCGGGAATATAAAAGGGACCATACAGGGCACCTTCAAAGAGGCTGCCCTTACTATTGACGCAGCCGTCGCGGCAATAGCAGCCAGAACTCCTGAGGAGGAGATTAGTCGACTTAATGCCGCCAACAACCTCCTCAAGAAAGAAGTCGAGGAACTCCGGCAGGAGATCCAAAAGCTGAAGGCCGAGAAAAGCCAGGTTACTCCTGCCGCCACACAGGCTCCTGCGCCCACCAGTTCTGTCCTGGCGGGCGACGTAGAAAGAGAGATCATGGTCCGGGTGGGGACTATGATGGATGCCAAACTTAAAGGGATCGAGGAGCGTCTTCTGCCGGAGAAACGCCTTCGGCCTCCTCTCGCGGCCGATACGTCGGAATCCCTCTCCAGCCCATCAACGACAACCGATGGCCCCGCCACAAGGGCGGCAGCTAAGAGAGCTGCTCCGGCCCCACAATCGGCTCCCCCAGCAAAGGCTGCACTAGCCTCACAGAGAAAGGCGCGCACCGGCCCCAAGACGGCTCCTGTTCAGGCCTCAATTGCCGAACCCTCCAAGGTGACCACGGCGCCTGCGCCGTCTCCCCCAAAAAAGAGCCGCGCTCGAAAAAAGAGGGGCAAATCTCCACCTGCCCCCGCGCCATCTCAAACAGAGCCCCGTTCTCTGCCTCCAGCACCAGCGTCCATGGATGCCGGTTGGACAGAGGTAGTTAAACGCGGGAAAAACAAAAGTAGCGGCGACGAGAAAAGCAANGTACAGATTTTATCGGCAAAAATTATGGAACTTGATAGGTTTTAGACCATGCCACGCACCAAAACGTCCGGAAGTTGTAATAGTATTATAGAATAAACGTTAAAAGACTTATTTATTTAATTTTTCAATGCTTAAGTGTCCATTAGAATGAAAGGGTGCTTAATGTATTAAAAAAAATAGAAAATAATTATGATGGGTTAATGTTTTTGGGCGGTTTTTAGGCGGTTTCTGACAATGTCCTTTATAGGTATTATACATGTAATACGGGTGAATGTGATTAATAACTTATTATAGCTTATTTATTCCATACTTACCTACCTACACACTTTTTTTTTCAAGTGAGTATAGATTTAATAAAA